TCATCTGCAAATAGTGATAATTTAAGTTCTTCTTTTCCTATTTTGATGCCTTTAATTTCTTTCGTCTGTCTAATTGCTCTGGCCAGTGTTTCGAGAACTATGTTGAAGAGAAGTGGAGAGAGAGGGCATCCCTGTCTTGTTCCAGATTTTAGAGGGAATGCCTTCAGTTTTTCTCCATTCAGAATGATGCTAGCCTGAGGCTTAGCATAGATTGCTTTTACAATATTGAGGTATGTTCCTGTTATCCCTAGTTTTTCTAGAGTTTTGAACATAAAGGGATGCTGTACTTTGTCGAATGCTTTTTCCGCATCTATCGAGATGATCATATGGTTCTTATTTTTAAGTCTATTGATGTGGTGAATAACATTTATTGATTTCCGTATATTGAACCAGCCTTGCATCCCAGGGATGAATCCTACTTGATCATGGTGTACAATTTTTTTGATATGTTTTTGTATCCGATTCGCCAGAATTTTATTGAGGATTTTTGCATCTAGGTTCATTAGAGATATTGGTCTGTAGTTTTCTTTCTTTGAAGTGTCTTTGTCTGGTTTAGGTATCAGGGTGATGTTGGCCTCATAGAATGAATTTGGAAGTTCTCCCTCCTTTTCTATTTCCTGAAGTAGCTTGAAAAGTATTGGTATTAGTTCTTCTTTAAAGGTTTTGTAAAATTCTGCTGTATACCCATCCGGACCTGGGCTTTTCTTAGTTGGTAGTCTTTTTATGGTTTCTTCTATTTCCTCAATTGATATTGGTCTGTTTAGGTTTTCTATATCCTCCTGACTCAATCTGGGCAGATCATATGACTTAAGAAATTTATCTATGCCTTCACTATCTTCTAATTTATTGGAGTATAAGGATTCAAAATAGTTTTTGATTATCTTCTGTATTTCTGAAGTGTCTGTTGTGATATTGCCTTTTTCATCCCGTATGCTAGTAATTTGAGTTCTCTCTCTTCTTCTCTTCGCTAGCATCGCTAAGGGTCTGTCGATTTTGTTTATTTTTTCAAAGAACCAACTTTTAGTTTTGTCAATTTTTTCAATTGTTTCTTTTGTTTCGATTTCATTAATTTCAGCTCTGATTTTAATTATTTCTTGCCTTCTACTTCTTTTGCTGTTGTTTTGCTCTTCTTTTTCAAGGATTTTGAGATGAAGTATGAGATCATTTATTTGTTGGTTTTTTCTTTTTTTAAGGAATGAACTCCAAGCAATGAATTTTCCTCTTAGAACTGCTTTCAATGTGTCCCATAGATTCCGATATGTTGTGTCTGTGTTTTCATTTATCTCTAAGAATTTTTTAATTTCCTCCTTGATGTCTTCTATAACCCATTGATCATTCAGTAACCTATTGTTCATTCTCCAAGTGATGTATGCTTTTCCCTTCCTTCTTTTATCGTTGATTTTCAGTTTCATTCCATTATGATCAGATAAGATGCATGGTATTATCTCTACTCCTTTATATTGTCTAAGAGTTGCCCTGTGACATAATATATGATCTATTTTTGAGAAGGATCCATGTGCTGCTGAGAAAAAAGTGTAACTGCTTGATGTTGGGTGGTATACTCTATATATGTCAATTAGGTCTAGGTTATTAATAGTGTTATTGAGTTCTATAGTTTCCTTATTCAACTTTTGTTTGGAAGATCTGTCCAGTGGCGAGAGAGGTGTGTTGAAGTCTCCCATGATTATGGTGTGGTGGTCTATTAGACTCTTGAACTTGAGAAGAGTTTGTTTGACGAACATAGCTGCACCATTGTTTGGGGCATAAATATTTATGATTGTTATGTCTTGTTGGTGTATGGTTCCCTTAAGCAGTATGTAGTGTCCCTCTTTATCTCTTTTGATTAACTTTGGCTTGAAATCTATTTTATTTGATATGAGTATGGACACTCCTGCTTGTTTCCGAAGTCCATATGAGTGATATGATTTTTCCCAACCTTTCACCTTCAGCCTATGTATGCCTTTTCCTATCAAATGCGTCTCCTGTAGGCAGCATATTGTTGGGTCTTGTTTTGTGATCCATTCTACTAGCCTGTGTCTCTTAATTGGTGAGTTTAAGCCATTAACATTTAGGGTTATTATTGAGATATGGGTTGTTCTTCCAGCCATATTTGTTTATTTCTGTTACTAAACATGGTTTGTTTTCCTCTTTGATTATTTTCCCCCCCTTTACTGTCCTACCTCCCACTGTTGGTTTTCATTGTTATTTTCCATTTCCTCTTCCTGTAATGCTTTGGCGAGGATGTTTTGAAGAGATGGTTTTCTAGCTGCGAATTCTTTAAACTTTTGTTTATCGTGGAAGGTTTTAATTTCATCCTCCATCCTGAAGCTTAATTTCGCTGGATACACAATTCTTGGTTGGAACCCATTTTCTTTCAGTGTTTGAAATATGTTATTCCAGGATCTTCTAGCTTTCAGAGTCAGTGTTGAAAGATCAGCTGTTATCCTGATTGGCTTACCGCTAAATGTAATCTGCTTCCTTTCTCTTGTAGCTTTTAAAATTCTCTCCTTATTCTGTATGTTGGGCATCTTCATTATAATGTGTCTAGGTGTGGATCTCTTATGATTTTGCACATTCGGCGTCCTGTAGGCTTCTAGGATTTGGGATTCTGTCTCATTCTTCAAGTCTGGGAAGTTTTCTTGTATTATTTCTTTGAATAGACTGCTCATTCCTTTGGTTTGGAGCTCTGTACCTTCCTGTATCCCAATGACTCTTAAGTTTGGTCTCTTAATGTTATCCCATATTTCTTGGGTGTTCTGCTCATGGTTTCTTAACAGTCTTGCTGAGCTGTCCATGTTCTTTTCCAGTTGAAATACTTTGTCTTCATTGTCTGATGTTCTATCTTCTAAGTGTTCTACTCTGCTGGTAGTATTCTCCATTGAGTTTTTAAGTTGGTTTATTGCTTCCTGCATTTCTAGGATTTCTGATTGCTTGTTTTTTATAACCTCTATCTCCCTGTATAGTTGATCCTTTGCTTCCTGGATTTGTTTGCGTAATTCGTTGTCGAAGTGATCTTTCATTGTCTGATTTTGCTGTTTAATGTCTTCCTTGATACTCCAGATCATCTGAAGCATGTATATCCTGAATTCTTTATCTGACATTCCATCTGCTGCAACTGTTACCTCTTCTAAAGTTGCATTGACCTGCATTGCTTGTGGTCCTTTCTTTCCTTGTCTTTTCATACTGCTTGCGTATCTTTCCTGCAGGTGCGGGCGGCGGCTCTGCTCTCTCCTTATTCCAATTGGGGTGTCGTGGCTACCACGCCAGCAGGTCACTGGGCCTGTTCTGGGAGCTGGCGGCGGCTCTGTTCTGCCCCTACTCCAATTGGGGTGATGAGTGTACCACACTGGCAGGCCACCGGGCCTGATCCCCCGGTCGGTTGCAGGTTTGCCTACCCTGCAGGCGCGGGCGGCGGCTCTACTCTGCCCCTACTCCAAATGGGGTGACGTGTCTGTCGTACCGGCAGGCCACTGGGCCTGTCCCGCTGGTCGGTCGCAGATCTGCCCACCTTTCAGGCATGGGTGGAGGCTCTGCTCTGCCCCTACTCCAATTGGGGTGTCGTGACTACCCCGCCTGCAGGATGCTGGGCCTGTTCCTGGCACGGGCGGCGACTCTGCTCTGCCACTACTCCAATTAGGGTGGTGTTTGTACCACACCGGGAGGCTCCTGGGCCTGATCCGCCGGTCTGTTGTAGGTCTGCCTACCTTGGAGGCGCGGGCGGCGGATCTGCCCTGCCCCTCCTACCACGCCTGCGGACCCCTGGGCCTGATCTGCAGGTTGATCACTGGTCTGCTCACCCTGTGGGCACGGGTGGCGGTTCCGCTCCGCCCCCACTCCAATTGGGGTCACGTGACCACCACACCAGCAGGGCCTGATCCGGGCGTGGGAGAAGGATCTGCTCTGCCCCTACTCCAGTTGGGGTGACGTGTGTACCACACTGGCAGGCCACTGGGCCTGACCCGCCAGGCTGTCACAGGTCTGTTTACCTTGCAAGCGCGAACGGCGGCTCTGCCCTGCCCCCCCTACCACGCCCATGTACCACTGGGTCGCGGGTCTGCCCACCTTGCGGGTGCGGGTGGCGGCTCCGCTCCGCCCCCTCTCCAATTGGGGTCACGCGGTCACCACGCTGGCGAGCCGCTGGGCCTGCTCCGGGCGCTGGCGGCGGCCCGGCTCCTCCCCTCTGGCTCCAGGACAAATTGAGGAGACTCGGGTGACTGTGCCTCACCCCCCCTACCAGGAGACCAACTGCTTATGTCACCGCTGGTATTGATGAAGTTCTCTCCTCCGCCGCTTTCTGCTGACATCAGATCTCTGCCATGTTGGTATCCTATGCGAATGGCAGCATTTCGTTCCCTTTGCCAGGCAACCAAAGCAACGGGTGAGTCCTGACCGGCCCTCAGCAGGACCCGGACCGAGACGCAGTTTCCGCGGGCTCCTAGCCCCGGTCCAGGGAAGTTCTGGGAGCCGGAACTCGGCCGCTCCATGCTCGGTGTAAGCTCCTATAAGTGTAAGCTCCAAGAAGCAGCCCCCGCGGGCTCAGTTCAGGGAGCCGGAATTCGGCTGCTTAGTGCTTGGTGTATGCTCTGATAGTAGCAGGGTCCAAGAAGCAGCCTCCGCAGGCTCCGCAGCCCTGGGCCAGGGCGGTTCCGGGACGGTTCCGGGAGCCGGAACTCGGCCGCCCCACGCTCGGTGTTCGCTCCGATAAGATCAGGTTCTAAGAAGCACCCAGGCTCTGAACCCTAGCAATCTGTCTGCAAGCCGCAGGCGAATTGCAGCCTGAAATTACCTGTTCTATGGCTGAATGAGCTGCGGTCAGTCGAAAACAGGGAAGGTGACGTCAGTTTACCAACATGGTGGCTGCTGGCCTCCTCTGTGGTCTGACCCGTGTGGAGAACCGAGATGGACCGCTTCCTTCCCCCGTCTCGAACCCAGAATTCAGCCCTGAGTACGGTGCTTGCGCGTCTGGCAGAAACTGCAGCACTGTAACCCTGCGTCTCTATCCCAGCGCACGCTGCAGACTCTAGCCGCGGGGCGATTTGCTGAATAAGCAGTGTTACCCTCCGTGCGACAAACCTCTCGCGTTTGAGTCCCCGTAGCCGATCCTTGTGCGATGGAAATCCTTCCTCCAGGTTCCGGAGCACCCCACTATTGCTGGAAATTCCTAACAAAATATCCTTTAGCCGTCCTGACTTGTCATACTCCCACACAGTGAAGCAGCACACGGGGGCAATGCACTCCCCTCGCCGCCATCTTCTCCCCAAACCTTTTTGTATATTGTATATTATTCTTTAATTTAAAAGTTTAAAAGATGGGTGCAAAAGAGTATCAAGTAAAGGAGTGTTTATGGCAAAAAGCATTAATAGAAACAGAAATATTTCATGATAAAAGAATCAATCCACAAAGAATATTCAAACAAACGTGGCGTCTATTCTAATTTCACTTCTTTGTTGCTTTCCACTTCAGTCACTATATTGTTCATTTCTACAATTTATAGCTGTCAGTTTTTAAGTTTGTGTCTGAGGAGTTACATTTTTTCATCTCTGAACATTCTGAACCCATGCCGTGTACTCTTCAGGGAGCTCCATCACTACTTATTCATTGATGGCAACCCTCCATTTATTGATTCTGCACTTATATCCTTTTGTTTCTTCACATGCTCAGTAATTTTTACTTACAAGTTTCTTTTCATTGAAGTTTGTCTTCCCTAGAAAACCCTAGAGGTTTGCATTGTTGTGGCAACTATGCTTTGAATTCATTTAGTGTTTGCTTCCACCAAGACTTTAGCAGGATTCCCAGGTTTTTATACTTGTTGCTGGGTTTGGGGCTTGCTTTCATGAGACTGAGTTTTCTGCCCATGTTCTGGGGGCCTAGTCCAGTCCTGAGCTCCTTCACACTCACCATGTACAATCCCTCACACCACAGGCTCATATGCTCTGGTAAATTATGAGCAGCATCCCATGTCAGGGGTGGGGAATATCATAGGATAAGGGGGCTTGGTCTCTTAGTGGTGGAAATATATAAGCCATTGAAAGATGAAGATGAGATGAGAATTTCACATAGCTAGTAATCAGTGACCAAAGAAATGAGAGTCCCAGAGTTCACAGGTATCTGCATGTACCATCACAAGTTCTAGCATTACTTACCTGTCTTTGCACACAGGGAGACCCTTGCTGACATGTTTCATACTATTTAGTGTATCAGAAAAATGTCAGATTTGTGGGAGAGATAATTTATTAATGATATCTAATTTCATAGAATTTTGGCATTTAATTGTCAATGTTACACTAAGACACCTGTATGGTAAGAGTAATGTGTGAGATCCCAGGGTCTCGCTATCCTGGCTCCATGAGAACAGATAGGCTTTTCTATCCTCCTCCTCAGAAGCTCCTTAGGAATTAGATCAGAGATACTCCTTACAAGTTCATAATCTTCCAACAAACTGGGCAAGAGTGGAGGAGATGATTCAGGTACTGACCTCAGGAACTTCCTTGCCCAGGGAAAGATGGTGTCAGAGCCTGACTCTAGGGCTTTCCAGTCTGGCTAATGAATGAGAAGTGCTGGTCCCAACTTGTCTAGCCCCATGCTGGCTGTGGAGGGAAGATTCACCCAGGGCTGTTGGGACTATGACCTAGGGTGTGGGGCTTATCTCAGAGATCAGATAGACTGGAACCCCTAGGAAGGCATTCTCCAGGATGAGGACTGAGATTTGAAAATATCAAAGGAAAACAAATGAGAAAGCCCTGTGTAATGGGACAAATGGGAGAAGTTCTCATCATTCCTCTCCATTCTGCCCCTGCATGAAGTGCCTATTCTCACCTTGCATTTGAGCTAGGAGCCAAGTACACTGACAGATGTCGAGGCAGAAGGATTGGTTGATACAGAGGCACAGTCAGTCTCACCCTTGCTCTACCTCTAGCACACAGAGACATTGCCCACCCTACCCCCCACACCATCTAGAGAGCGCTTCACTGTCCCTGAGTTTAGCCAAAGACACACTCAGGAATCTGAGGAGCCTATCTAACCCCTTTCTCTAGGCCAGGGCTTCTGGGTTCTCTGATATAGCCAACTTGGACCTAGCCATCTCAAGACCAACATGGTACCTTTATTGGAATGAATCACAGCCAAGCTCCCCTAGAAGGGGCCATTTTTTTTATCTCAAGGGCTGGCCTCAGAGCAAGACTGATCCTGCCCCCTCCCACTGGGCTGGGCCTGGAATTCATGGCCTGGAAACCACAGTCTCATACCCAGCCACTCATTTCCAACCCGAGATAGTCTGGGGCCTGGCCCTCAGGAAACCTGACTGTCTGTTTTCTCTTCTCTGGATTTCTTCAAGCTAGCGTTGGAGTAATAGTTTGAGTCCATTCTCAGAATCTGGGCATTGTGAATGGTATTCTTTGCCACTTCCTCAGACATATCATCAGGTGTGTCCTCATCGTTCCTCCTCTTCTTGAAACTGCTGTCAGAATGCTGAAGGGAATCTTTCTGTAAGCTGAGACAAAGTGGCTACTTTGAGGCACCTTCAGCCATGCCAGGCTTTGCACTCTGGGAAATGGGGCTTTCTCACTTCCATATGCCCAGGAGGGACCCTTGCCTCCCGGAACAGGCTGGTTCTATCTCCCTGCCCCAGCTAGACCCCTTCCCTTTGCTAGCACTTACTGAGCATCTGCCATATACCAGAACTGCCTCCAACTGCTCTATATGGGTTTAATCCTCTCAAAATCCCTATGGAAGAGGAAGTCTGGACTACACGGCTTTACCTCTCTGTGCTTCAATTTCCTCATCTGCAAAAGGGTAACAGGTCCCACTTCACATCTTGTTCATTTGAGGACAAAATGAGAGAAGGTACACATGGAATGAGACCTGGCACATGGTAAATATGCAATGAGTGTTTGCTCTAGTTATTACTATGTTCTTGTGCACATACTAGGAAGTATTAGCACAAAAAATTGAAATCCAGGCTCTCTGGCTGCAGAACCCACATTCTCCACTGCTCTGCTCTGTTGTTCATTATATTTCCCTTCTCTACTACAGTGGGGCAACCTCCTATCCACATTTCAGGTTCTACATAAATATCAGTTCCTCTGTGACATTCCTCAACTCCTAAGATAAAGTTCTTCCTTCCCTGGGCTGTTACAATAGGTCCTATACATCCACGGTCAGAGACCACTCATGATAACTGTTTGCATATCTACCTCCCTATAAACTATGGTTTCTCAAAGGTGAGAACCTTTGACCTCTGATACCCAGCCTTTGGACAATTCCTTACACTGGTGGTCCAATAAAAGTCTAAGGAGATGGGGAGAGAAGGAGAAGAGTAGAAAGGAAGACAAGAGGAAAGCCAGAGGCAGCAACTCCTACAGTATAGAGCAGAGGATACTATAGGACCTCAAGTGACCTCTGCTCCTCACTGCTGCTCAGCTCCCCTCAGGTCCAGGGAGACAGTGATGAACTCTGTTGACCCAAATCCCCAGAAGAGATGGTTCTGCCAATTATGACAAATCTTATCCAGGGGACACTTAGGGAATCAGAGACCAGAACTGCCTAAGGAGATATGGAGTGGAGCTCAGTTCCCAAATGGGGTCCTGGGTTGTTGGGGCTAAGAGTACAAAATCATTAATCAAGGCTGGGTTCTTTAATCCAGAATCATTAATCAAGGCTACTCCCTTGAGGGAGTAGGGACTCAGACAGAAAAGGAGAGTTATTCAGAAAGACAATTCCAAGTCAGTCCCCTGTGTCTGGGGAGGGAAAGATGCCAAGGTACCTCTGGAGTATCTCTGGAGAGCAGTGCTCCAGTCCAGACAGGCAAATGAAGCCGGGAAGAAGAGAGCCAGGCGGGGTAGGAGCTGTCAGAGGCTGGGCTGGACCTCAATGAGTGGCAGTACCTATAGATCTGGGAACACTGCTATGGACATAGGGCGTTCCTGTTATCCCAGGCCCTCTGGCCAAGGGGCCAGGATGGACAGTGCCTGACATATTCTCACTGCCAAGGGCAGTCTCATACACTTACCTTGCTCTTGAAAATTGCTCCATACTGTCAGAGAGGAGCTGGTTTTGTGTTTCCGGCAGCAGGGCGGAAAAACACAAGGCTGCGATAGAGGAGATGAAGCAGAGAAAAATGGGCAGGAGGGCTGGGAGCTGGCTGATGATCATCAGGGACAAGATGGCTCCACCTGATGAGGCCAGAGACACCAGCCCCAGACCTGTAGACCTGAAAAGTGGCAAGGAGAGCTGGTCTGGAAGGCTCGTCAGGCCCACAGACCAGGTAAGATAGGGGAGAAGCTACCTGGTGCTCCACACCCTTCAGTCTCCACCCATCCCAGCTCATTGGGTGGCTAGGGGGGAGTTTAGTTCTCCATGAATTTCAAGTAGGTAGTAATTCTAGCCTTCTTTTATGGGTATCAGGAGTAAGAGAGGTAAGAACCACAGGGTACTGTGTGGATGTGCAGGGAGCCGTTCTGGGTATACAGGAAGACATAGCTGCTGTCACGGAGAGCTCTTGCAGGGTCGGGGCTGAGCCTCAGGTGGCCCAAACACATTCCATCCAGTGAGTTGTGAGGTGGAGACTGGAGTCAGACCCACCCAACCTGGAACCCAGCTCTACCACTTGCTGTGTCTCACCTACAACAAGTACCCTTATCTCTTTGCTTTAATTGTTTAAAACATGGTTAATGGTGGCATTTGGGAGATCTTTTGAGGACTAAGTGAGGTCATCCTTGTGAACTGCTTAGCACCAGGAGAACGCTCAATCTTAGCTGCTATATTAATATTGTCATTGTCCCATACTACCCCTCCATGGTCTCCATGGCTCCCTCATCTACCAGACCCCATACCTGACGATGGTGGGGAAGAGCTCAGCAGTGTAGAGGAAGACCACAGAGACACTGGTGGCCAGGCTGAACTGTCCAAGCACAAGCACCAAGATTATGGCGGATTTTAGACCTGTGTCCAGAAAACACAGCTACCTAAGGCTGAGGCCATCTTCCCCTCAGTGCCCATCAATCCTTGATCCCTCACAGAAAGCATCTGAGCAATCCACCCCTACCACCTGGTCAGCTGTCCAGCAGACTCAGGCACTCTGTCCAAGGAGGATCAATCTGTAGAGGCCCAGCCAGGCCAGAAGTTAGCATATCTGCTGTAGGAGAATTGACCAGGAAGTCGGAGATACTACACTGGAAACCCAAAGGCCCCTCAGGCCACCCACCACCTTGCTGGGCCGAGCCCCCATATCTCTGCCTTTAGGGCTGTCTTTATTCTACATCCTCAAACAGCTGTAGCTTACCATACCCCACCCACCTGCTCCTTGGCCATCACTTGCACTAGGCTTCCCACTCAGGGTTCCCATCTGTGCTCTGCAAGGTGACCTGGGCAAGGATGTTTGGTCCCTGGGGTCTGCATGGCTGGGATTGGTCCTAAACACTCCAGGATGCCTGCCTATGGCAGCTAGACATGTGCTCTGAAGGAGAAACAAAAGACTCAGCATCTGGGGGAGTGTCCCTCAGCAAGTGCAGTGGGGCTGGAGCCCTTGTTCACTGCCTGCCAGGTTACCAGCTCTTCCCTGTCACCCCCCTGCAGGGTCCTGCTCCAGCTCCACTTCCCACCTTTCTTGACTCTGGGATGAAATCAAGATTGACAACTTTTCTCTATTAGGGAGTCTGTTCCTAGGTGCTCTCATGTGGGAGACTGACTAGCACGTGACCGTGTCTGACTCCCCTGCTGACTAGTGTGGCATCTGGTGGTCACACTGTAATCTGGATAGCCCCGGTCTTCTAGGGTGCGAGCAACTGTGTCTTCGTGCATGGGCGTGCCTTCCTATATCCCCATGGGTTGAGCTACGCTCACCTGTTCCTTTGTAATATTACCCCTTGCCCTGTTTGGGATAGAATGTTCATGAAGCTAGAGAGAGAGAGAGAGAGAGAGAGAGAGAGAGAGAGAGAGAGAGCACACACACACACACATGCTGACCCCTTTTATTGAGGAGAAGCTATTCAAATGAGGCAAGGGATCAGTTTTAAGGGGGCTGAGTCTAGCTTCATGATGTCCACTGTCAGTAGGTTAGCTGACATCTAGGAAGGCCACACCCAAGGACAACAGTAAGAGAAAGGGACACACAAAAGGCATTTCCATGGAACATTCTATCCCAAACAGGGCAAGGGTAATATTACAAAGGAGCAGGTGAGCGTAGCTCTACCCATGGGGATATAGGAAGGCACGCCCATGCACGAAGACACAGTTGCTCGCACCCTAGAAGACTGGGGCTATCCAGATCACAGCGTGACTGCCAGATGCTGCACCAGTCAGCAGGAGAGTCAGACACAGTCATGTGCTAGTTGGCCTCCCATACTCTCACAATCTAAGAACTTTAAATGTTTCTGCTTTTTTTTTTTTTTAAACCACCAAGCAGTAGAAATCTAATCATAAATTTGTTCAACCATTTTGATTTAGTCCATCAACATCTGCCAACATTTGGGAGGGGAAGAATCTCAACAGAGGACATACAATTCCAGCACCCAGAGAAAGGGAGGAAGCACCAGGAAGGGCAGACCCCAGATATTGCCTTCCCTGCCTGGGCCCCAGTCGCTGAAGGGGCTTCCTGGGGTCAGCAATTCCAAGCAGGTGTATACTGACCCTGCAGTCCTGTGTGCTGCAACCCAAGATCCTGGGACATGTTCATTGTCTACGGCTCTTTGAAATATTGAAAATACTGCTAGCTATCCCCTTCCTCCTTTGGGTTGCATTTGTGCACAATTTTTAGTGAATAGGTTATTCCTGAAGTCACAGATAACAACATGTAGTTCCCAATCAGAGGGGCTATAAATGAGAGGCAGAGCCTGGGATAGCAACTGGAGGAGTATCTGTCTTCATTCATTCACATTGAACCACTAGATCTGCTTCTGATGTGGGCTGGAATCAGGTGGTGAAGGTGGTCTGCCCTCCCACATAGGGATGATTTCTCTGAACAGCACACCCTCCTCTCTAAGGCCTCTGAGAGTGTATGGGTGTCCTGTCTTGAGGACTCCCACTTGCAACCTGATCCTTAGGGGCTAGGCCTCCTCAGGGTGGGTAAGCTGTGCCTGCAGAAAGCTAAATCCTGTGTGCCTAGCTGGCTGGCCAGGATAGGAGCCAGCAGAGGGGTTTTGAGGAAGCAGGAAAGTTGGAGGTGGCCTATCCGGGCAGGGTGGGCTATACCTTGGGGGAGGAAAAGCATAAGAAAGCACATGAAGGCGGTTTGGATGAGAATCACAGCCAGGCTCCATTTCCTCCCCATCTGTTCAAGGAGAACGATGCTGCACAGCCGGGCGGGCACCTCCAAGATACCAGGGATCGCCTGTCTGAAGTGGATGCTCACTCCAAAATCTCTCAACTTGAGACTCAGTGTAAAATAGCTGTAACTGATGGTAAGCCTGGAACACACATGCAGAGAGAGATGGCGCCAGGAACAGAGTCAGAGGCTGAGCAGAGAGGGGCAGGGTAGGATTGGAGAAAAGAAATAAGCACAGGGACCTGCAAGAAGCGTCCCCCTAGGCCCTGCTCCTCTTGCAGCCTGACCCTCCCCTATAGCCCTCCCAAGAGCTCGAGGCTGGAATATCAGTTTTCTATCCCTGCCAGCCAGCCCTAAATACTCACCACACGCAGCCCATCACCAAGGTCACCTTACAGAGGTATCTATTGCTGTAGAAGTCTAGGACAGAGGCCTTAGTCACCTTCTTTCCAGGCAGCTGCAGCTACAGGACAAACAGGAACAGCCAGAGGAAGGCCTGAGACCCCCAGCAGGCTCCCCACCCCCACAGGATCCACAATGCTCACCCTATCCCCAACAGCACTTAAGCTGGCTCTGGCCTTGCCCTGTTATCATCATTCACCTGGAAGGATGAGGGTCTTCCCCCAGCCCACTGCCTGGCCCCACTCCTGCCCCAAACCTCTTACCTCTTCCAGCAGGTTGAGAGGAATGGTCTTCTTGTTGACCTCAGCGGCGTAGCACAACACCTCCTTGGCCTCTTTCACCTTTCCTTTCATCATCAGCCACCGTGGGGACTCTGGGAGAATCCTGTGTTGCCCACCCCTCTTCTTGTCATTCCAGGATGCCCCAGAGAGCCAAGATGACCCCATCCTAGCCTCGGCTGTGGCCATCTTGCTCCAGCACGAGGTGACTGAGGTGCCTCCAAGGTCACTGCCAACCTCAGGATGCCCTCTGACCCTCCCTGGCAGTCAGTCCTTCCTCTAAGATACACACAGCCCCCACAGCTGCTCAGTGACACCCAGTCACTTGCTGCCTTCACCCTCAGTCATCTCTAAGAGCTCTCTTCTTTCCTACCTCAGGGGTTGTCCCCATCTGCCCACATGTGCCGAGGAATGTCTTCCATGCCCATATCCTCTGTGAGATCCCTCCTTGTCACGGGGTTCTTGCTATTCCCTCTCTGTCTCCTTAACAGCCTGGAGAGTATGGGGGAGGGGCCAGGACCCTGGATCTGACCCAAGAGCCGAGCACCCTACCTGGGTGAATGGAGGGGTGAGTGAACCTCTCTGCTGTGTCCCATCTCTCCCCTGTCACACCTTGCTGTCTTTGACCTCAGACTACCTTGCCACACTCTTTTTTCCTAATCCTCTTTGGCTGTCAGAATTCACACAGGTTCCCAGCTAAAGCACAGATGAAGTTCTGGGAATTATGCTCTGCGCCTTTGTATCATCTTGTTTAATCTCTACCCAGCCCTGGACCTATGTGATAATCCCATTTGATTCTCAGCCTCAAGGAGTAAGGACTTGGCCCAGGTCACAGAGGCAGAGCTGGTAAAACCTGGGTCCCTGTCTAAGGCATTCTCTACAGAGCTGTGCCACTGCCCTCTACCCACTTCTCACACTGTCACTGCCTCCAGAGCCTGGACTCTGTGGCTGATTGTTGAAAATACACCCAGGACCCTGGAGACCACTTTATCTACGCTGCTCCTACCCTCTTCCAGCAGGGTCCAGCAATTAGGCATTCTTTTCTACTGTAAGACTATGGAACTGTCCTGGTGAAAGCCCCTATGGCTTCAAAGAAGATAGGGGATTCGATGGCATGCCCACTAGAAAATAAGAATTTAAAAAATCAACTCTCAAGGACAGAGAGAATGGGAAAGGACACAGTAGGAGAAAGATAACAGTGAAATGAAGCTTAAAAGTGGATAAGAGAACTTCTGACTGAGCCAACTGAGTGGTCTGAATGTCTATGTCCTCCAAATTCACAAATTGAATCTTTTCCCCAGTGCAAGAGTAGTAAGAGCTGGGACCTTAAGGAGACAACGAGGTTACATGGGCAGCACCCTCATGAATGGGATTAGTAGCCTCATAAAAGAGGCCCAAAGGGAGCTTGCTTGTCCCTTCTGCCATGGGCAAACACATAGATGGTTCTTTTCCATGAGAAACAGGCCCCAACCAGACACCAAATCTGCTGGGTCTTAATCTCAGGCTTCCCAGCCTCCAAAGCTGAAGTGAGAAGCTTATGTTTATAAACTAGTCTAAAGTATTTTTGCAGCCTGACAGACTGACATCCAAGCACAGCCTGTGTTATATGGAATGCTGTGGGAGATACAGTGGACTGTCCTGGCCCTACAGGACTCTGAGCACCCAGTTCCCACAAATGGGACTATTCGTTCCCCCTGCATTGTGCACCTAGAACATAAGGAAGGCCAAGGAATCAAACACAGAGCAGGGGCAAGGGCCAAGGACAGATACAGGAGTTAAGAGAAAGTTCTCACAATGACAGCTAGAGTCCCAGCCACAAGTTTCAGTGGGGAGCACAGCAGCTGGAGCCTGGCCATGGTCCAGCTTTGGGATCCTCCGAGAACCAGCAGCCGCCCAACAGGAGTGATTCTCAGAGTGTGGTCATCAGCGCAGCCTGAGGAATGCAGATTCTCAGGCGTCACCTGGGCTTGCAAATGCAGAAACTGAGAGAGATGTCCAGCCCCTACCCCCACATCTTAACAAGCTTCCATATGATGCTGATGTTCTACACAGATTTAAGATCCATTTCCCTAAAGGTCACCAGCCACTTAGCTGCTCCTCATGATTTCCCTTTAGTTCCTTAGTGACTCTCTTAAATATAAAGGAATGACCCAGGATGGCTGGATATTGAAGAAAACCTCCCAAGTTTAAGAGGATGCAAACCAATCAAACATAAAAGAAAAGAATAATCCAGAAGGACATAGATAATATGGAGAATGGGAGCTGGGCGCAGTGGCGCACACCTGTAATCCCTGCAGCTTGGGAGGCCGAGACAGGAGAATCTCGAGTTCAAAGTCAGCCTCAGCAATGGCAAGGCACTAAGCAACTCAGTGTAGACCCTGTCTCTAATAAAATACAAAATAGGTGCCCTGGTACAAAAAAAAAAAAAAAAAAGATAATGTAGGGAATGGGGGGGGGGAAGAAAATTAAATTCTAACTTGTATTCTTCAAGAACATCTGAGATGTTTTGCAATTTCATATTCATGAAGTTTCAAATGCTACTGAGAAAAAGAAATCAGAGAATAAGGAATCACAGTGTAACCAAATGGTAAGTGAACTTTTCTGTTCTGGGATTTCAGCAGCAGCTCCCAAATCTGGGAACAATGGACAAAAAACCCTCACATTCTAAAGATACATTAGGGAGAGGAGTTGCTAAAAAAAGAGAGAGATAAAAAAGCCACATGATGCAGTGGACCAGTGGCCGTTCATGGAAGTGAAAGGGTCTTGAATATCTTCTCTACCCCATGTTCTCATCCACTCCAGCCAGGCCCAGGGGAGTCCAAGCAAACTCCATAGGTAGATTTGGGATTCTTTTCCAGAAAGGGGGTCTTGCTCTCCCACTCTCTGGCTGGAGTTAGAAACTTGAGGTCTTGCCCTGGTACTCTAGATAGTGAGAGGGTTTGTGGGAGGACAAACAAGTGTCTCCTGAAGTTCGAGGGCTACACAAACTTAGAGAATGGTGTCATCTCTTATCTGGCTAAGAGGAAGGCAGTAAGTTGGTGAGAGCCACCGTGGCGGGGGGTGGGGGGCTGAGGGACAGTAAGATTTTTGGCCAAGTGAACCCTGCAGTCTTGCAGGCATGTCATGTGCCAGGGTGAGGAGACTTCTACAGGAAGAAGGTGTGGATTGAACTGCCAGCAACAGGAGTTGGGGCAGGGGATCACAAAGAATGCAAGACCATTAGAAAACGCCAATGCTCAGAAGATCCACTGGAAATCTGAACATCTTTCCTCCAGAGGATACTGACAGCTCATCACAGCTCCTGTCACGCAAGTGTTTGGTCTCTTTTCTCTGATGCCCCATCCCCTTCCTAGAACCTGGAAAATCAAAGCAGGAAGAGGATGGTGAGGAATGATCTCATTGCCTTAGGCCACTAGCCTGAGCAGGGGCCAGGGAGCTGCTGAGGATTTGATACAAGCTGAGGTTTCAAGTTGGATTGAACTGGATTTTTTAGTGTCTGAAATTAAGTCTTTATTATCAAAATGAGACTTATTCTAGTAACTAAGAATGACTAGAAAGAGATAGTATCTGCCCAAAATATTGCCACATGTCAGGGAAGGGACAGCTGGTGGGACATGTCTAAAGACTGTAGATGAAAAAAACATCTCCCAGAGAATTCAACCCATTAAAAACTCCAGTGCTCTGAGTGCGTAGGGCTACTAAGACATCTACCAGCAGAAAGAGCTAAGAGTTCAGAGTGATGGCTTCTAAGAAAGGAACCAGGGACTATGATAGGGAGAGGACACCAGAAACTTATTTTTTATTGCAAACCTTTTTGCATTATTTAGTTTGTAATCATATTCTTCTGTTACATTAATTAACATTTCCAAAAATGTTTTTTAGGTCAAGTTATGCATGAACCTCAGTTTCCCAGCTACAAGATGAAGACATGGCACCTGGCATCAGATGGTTCCCACATTCCTTTAGGCATCTCAAGGACTGGCAAAACTGGTCTCTAGCTTCTACAGAACTGGGAAAGCCCCTGAGCTACATCCATGCTCTCCCTCCTAACTAGTAACCCCAACTCCTATAATCCATTCTGTGTATAGCGCAGTAGTTAAAACACACAGAGGCTTTGGAGCCAGATAAACTGAGTTAAAATCCCAGGTCCCCCACTTTTGAGTCATGTGACCTTGGACAAATTATTTGAAGCCTCAGTTATCTACCCTAATGCTCATCTTTCAGGGTTATCAAGATTAAATGTGCCAGGCATGGTGGTACACGCCTGTAATCCCAGCAGCTTGGGAGGCTAAAGCAGGAGGATCGCAAGTTCAAAGCCAGCCTCAGCAATAGCAAAGCATTAAGCAACTCACTGAGACCCTGTCTCTAAATAAAATATAAAATAGGGCTGGGGATGTGGTTCAGTGGCTGAGTGTCCCTGAGTTCAATCCCCAGTACCAAAAAAAAAAAAAAAAAAAGATTAAATGTGGTAATTTCAATATTAAATTTGGAGATTTCTTCACACAGAACTATCTAACCCTTAACAAGTGAGTTATCTCATCTCCCCTCCTCTCACCTCTATGGCCTTCTGTTCCTTTACTTTACCCACTGCCCACCATCAACAGTGCCCTCTCATTCCTGCTTCACTCCCCTCCTAACCCCTCCAAGCTTTGATCCACCCATGGTCCCTTCATAGCTCCAGTCTCTCAGGGGCCTGTCTGTGCCTCCTACAATGGAAAACCCCAGACACCCTCTCCTGCCTGCCTCCGCTGCCCATGCACACCATCCCCTCCCCCTCTCCCAAATCAGCTGTTTCCCAGGTGGCTCCTTTCCTTCCACTTCTACTCACTTATTTCCACTCCTGCCATTCTATTGAAGTCACCTCAAGAAGGTCATCAAGGCCAGCCTGCCCTTCCTCACTCCCCTCTCCTGCCTTGACCCTGACCATTCCCTGACCTTGAGCTTTGTCCTTTAGCACTCTTCCTCCTGGTCTCCCCATATCTCTCTGACATCTTTTTAGGGTGTCCTCTGAGGGGAAGGTGAGCACTGGGGTTCCAGAGGCTCTGCTCCTCATCTCCTCCACATGCATCTTTCCCAGGGGAGCACTGCCATTCCCACATGAGGACCCCCCACACCCTCCGTCTGTGCCCATCAGACCCAGCCTCATGAATGCCCTGAACTCATTTGCTCACCAAATGTAGGAGATGAGGGGGAACACGGGTACCGCGCCCACCAGAAACAGCATCCGCCAGTGGGGAAGGTTGTAGGCGAGCCCCGTCAGGAACATGATCCCCACAGAGAAAAAGCAGTGCTCCAGGATGACGGCATGGGCCCGGTGTTCCCCCACAAGCCACTCAGTGACTGTACGGAAGTAAAAGGACAAAATGGTGCTCAGCTCAGGGTCCCTGGGGCTGCCCCCGATCCCTGGCATGTCAACAGTGGCTCTTCGACCTTTTTATGACTTAACTCCATCCTGTTGGCTTCCAGTAGGTTGGTGCCAGCCCACCCTTGCTCCCTGAAGTCCAAGACACCCCTCAAAACTAGACAGACCACTTCTGTGAATCCCCACCAGGGCACATGCTGGGCTTCCTAATACACACCTGCCTTCCATCTCTTCTCACCCTGTTGCCTCTACCCTTGCTGCCTGATCAGTGCCTATTCCGGGAACTGTGTGCCTCACATGGCCTGTCTCATAGCCAGGCAAGGAATCACTATCTTGCCTTAGAGCACATTAGTGTTTTGTTCACCTGAACATGTTCCCTCTGTCAGGCTTCCAATAAGAAGTCTTTTGCCAGAGAAACTGGAGCATACCAGGAATTGCAGGTATAAGAGTCTAGGCACCAAACCTTATGAGGGTAGGATATAAATGTATGCAGACTGGGGACTTTTAATACCACCTCGCCTGCATTGAAATCCAGCTCCTTACTCCTGTAGGACCCTGAGAAAGTTGGTTAACTCTGAGATGAAATATCTTCTTCAGCTAAAGGAATGATAGAATAGTGCCTACCAAAGAGTATTGTTGGGATGAAATGAGCCAATACAGATAAAAAGGCTCAGCAGCTCCTTGACCCTTAAGGGTTCCACATATATAAGCTGGGTTGGGGGACAGGGTACATAAGGGGAATGTGAGGGACACAGGGGACTAGAATGGAGGACAAGGGTGGAAGGGTAGTCTGAACACTGGTTCTCTGACATCTCCAGGCAGCAGGAATGGAGAGTCTTTCCACTCCTACCTTCCCTGATGAGGCCTACGTCATGTTGGCTCCCAATCCTTTTGGCTGCCAGCCCACTCTGGTCCCACTCCCACCTTGCCTGGGGTCCCTGCTCCCATCCCACTCAGCTCTTAAGGCCCAGTCTCACCTAAAGTCAGGCTGACAATGGCATAGCCCATCACAGCCTGGGAGACACCAAAGCGGAAGAACAGGTACTGGTGAAAGCTGTTCACAAAGGCTGTCCCGAAGCCAAAGAACATCAGCCCCAGCAGTGACAGTAGGATGGTAGGGTAGCGGCCCAACCTACAAGCATTGAGGGGAGGCTGCACCAAGTGCCCACCTCCCTGGCTGGCCCCCAGCTGGACACCTGAGCCAGGCTCTGAGCTGTCCCAGGCCCCCAGAGCACCCCTACCTTTGCCTCCCCAAGCCTGGGATTCTTCAACTCTGAATGCCCTCAGGTAGAAGGCGGGGCATCCCAGGGACCAGAGGGAACTCCAGGAGACTCACTTGTCACTTAATAACCCGAAGATGAGAGACCCTATCAGTTGGCCCGTCATGAACATGGTCTGCACGGTTTCCTTGTCCAGTTCCTTGCCACACACCAGGTCAAACTGGGGGTTAGATACAGGGATTGGCCACAGTCCTCTCACCCAGGATCAGCCTTTTGAATCCAGAGACTGACCCTGGCTTGGGTGGACTTACAGGCAGAGGGCACCTGTGGTAGGGGTAGGTAATTGTGTGTGCAGAGTGCCTCAGCTCCATTATGTCTGTATCTCACCCTGTGCCTAGCAGACCCTGGGAGCTAGGCCAGGAGAGAGGGACCAGAGGCACAGGCCAAGAAGTGGTATGGATAGGGAGGTAACCATGCACAGTCACAGATCACTGAAGATCCTTTCCAAAACACAGGTGCTGGTCATGTCTGTGCTGGAAAAGATCTCGGGTTATGAAACCCTGTGAGAGATACCTGAGAGAAGTTGCTTCTTTCCCATCCCTATCTTCTATGAATTCACAGGGCAGAGCCACAACCTTGGAAGCAATTCCCTGATCAGATAGAAAACTCTGCCATCCATCACCTGTCTCTATCCCCAAATGCTCTCTAGCTTCCTGTCTAAGCAAGGCATGGTCAAGGGTGGACATTAGGAATCCTGATTTTCTGTCCAGGTCCCACCTCTGCAGGGAAACTTCAAAGAATTGCTGACCCTCTTTGAGCCTCAATTTCCCCACCTGCTCAGTAAGAGTGGGCCATGTCTATAGCATGGTGTGGGGACAGCTTCAGACAACCCAGGACAAAACATACCTCACTGATCAATGATCGCCTCTTGGACTCAGGGTAGATCCATCCATCTTCGCATGGGTCTGTGATGTTGAGGCCAAACTGAATGATGGACTCCAGATCCCAGGACACGGGCAAGTACATAAGACATGTCAGGAAACTGCCATTGTGTGCTCGGGGCAGGGTCAGGTTCATTTGCTCAGCCTCTGAGAGGTTGGGGTCCAATGCCAGGATCCAGCTGGTGTTGCAATAGGGCTTCTCTTCTGAGAACACAAAGTGGTCAGCAAACATGAAGAAGGACGACATGATGTTGGGAATAAAAGTGAGGACTATTAGCCTCCACTGGAATGTGCCAAACTCCCCCACTGCATCCAGGACATCAGCAAACTTGTCATCCTTCTTGGTATCCATGGCCCTCAATCTGCGTAACAGAGTGTCAAGGGAGCAGGAATAGGAAGACCCTGAGGTCCCCTGCCTGTTCGAGCTTCCGGAAACCTGGAATTCATTCTCTGTCCCAGAGTCCTTTTCTCTCGAAATCTGTTTGAAAAAGGGATGCAGTTCAGTCTCCTGTCACCAATTCCTAGACATCAGACACCAGCAATGGGAGCCACTTACCAGAACATGGCCTCTGGCTTGGAACTACGTGGAGTCCATGGTTTCCTCCTTTTCTTCTACAGTTTCTTAGTTCATATAGAGTGTTGTCTCCCACCCACTTTGGCTAAACCATCCCTGGATTTTAGTGTAAATAAAATTTTTAATGTTTTAGAAAAAGTTTGTGCTTCTATGGCCATGGGTAAGTTCTGAGGAACTCTCTTGCAGTTTCCCCACAACTGAAACTTTGTTTACATGCATACTGATGTACCACTGGAATTGCAAGAGGTAGGACAGAACCTTTCCTTAAATAATAAATATCTGCATCCGTGACCAAGAGCAGAGGCCAAGGTCCGTAGCTGGTGGCCTTGACCAAGAGCTGGGGTTGAGGAATGATACATCAACAAGATCTAACCATCATAAATATTTATGCCCCCAACAATGAAGCATCTAAGTGCCTCAAACAAACCTTTCTTAACTTCAAAAATCAAATAAACCATAACACAATAATACTGGGTGACTTTAAGACACCTCTCTCACTACTGGATAGATCTTCCAAACAAAAACTAAACAAAGAAACAGAACTAAATAATGCAATCAATGATTTGGACTTAACAGACATATATAGAATATTTCATCCATCAATGAGTACACTTTCTTCTCAGCAGCACATGGATCCTTCTCTAAAATAGACCATATCTTATGCCATAAAGCAACTCTTATCAAATATATAATACCCTGCCTCCTATCAAATCATAAAGGAATGAAATAAGAAATCAATGATAGAATAAAAAATAGAAGCTACTCTAACACCTGGAGACTAAATAATAAGCTATTGAATGATGAACGGATGACAGAGAAATCAGGGATGATATAAAGAATACTTACAGGTAAATGAGAATAATGATATAACACATCAAACTCTCTGGGACACCATGAAGGCAGTGCTAAGAGGAACATTCATTGCTTTGAGCTCATTCATTAAAAGAATAGAAATTCAACAAATGGGGCTGGGGATGTGGCTCAAGCGGTAGCGTGCTCGCCTGGCATGCGTGTGGCCCGGGTTCGATCCTTAGCACCACATACAAACAAAGATGTTGTGTCTGCCGAAAACTAAAAAATAAATATTAAAAAAAAGAAATTCAACAAATGAATAACTTAACATTATACCTCAACGCCCTAGAAAAGAACAAATCAACCCCAAAGCAGCAGAAGACAGGAAATAATTAAAATCTGAGCTGAAATCAATGAAACTGAAACAAAAGAAACAATTCAAAAAATTGACAAAAGTTTGTTCTTTGAAAAAATAAATAAAATTGATAAACTATTAGCCATGCTAATGAAAAAAGAAAACCCAAATTAATAAAATTCATGATGAAAATGGAAATATCACTACTGAAATATAGAAGATAACTAGAAACTATTTTGAAAATTTATACTTCAATAAAATAGAAAATCTGGAAGACATCAACAAATTTCTAGAGATGTATGAACTACCCAAACTGAACCAGGAGGATATACACAATTTGAACAGATCAATCTCAAGTGATGAAATAGAGGATGCCATCAAAAGCCTACCAACTAAGAAAAGTCCAGGGCCAGAGAGATTATCAGCCAAATTCTACAAGACCTTCAAAGAAGAATTAACACCAATACTTCTCAAATTATACCAAGAAATAGAAAAGGAGGGAACCCTTCCAAACTCATTCTATGAAGCCAGTATCACCCTGATACCAAAACCAAACAAAGACACATCAAGGAAAGAAAACTATAGACCAATATTCCTAATGAACATAGATGCAAGAATTCTCAATAAAATTCTGGCAAATTACATAAAAAACATATTAAAAAGATAGTGCATCACAATCAAGTCGAGTTCATCCCAGGAATGCAAGGTTGGTATAACATATACAAACCAATAAGTGTAATACATTACATCAATAGTCTTAAAGAGGGCTGGGGTTGTGGCTCAGCAGTAGAGCACTCATTTAGCATGTGCAAAGCCCTGGGTTCAATCCTCAGCACCATATAAAAATAAATAAATGAAGGTATTGTGTTCAACTCCAACTAAATAATAAATATTAAAAAAAAAGTCTTAAAGACAAGAATCATATGATCATTTCAATGTAGAGAAAGCATTTGGCAAAATACAGCACCTCTTCATGTTCCAAACATCAGAAAAACTAGAGGTAGTAGAAACATACCTCAACCTTGTCAAAGCTATCTATGCTAAGCCCAAGGCCAACATCTTTCTAATGGAGAAAAATTGAAAGCATTCCCTCTAAAAACTGGAACAGGACAAGCATGCCCTCTTTCACCACTTTTGTTCAACATTGTCCTTGACTCTAGCCAAAGCAATTAAAAGAAGATTAAAGGGATACAAATAGGAAAAGAAGAACTGAAACTATCACTATTTGCCAATGATATGATTCTTTATTTAGAAATTCCAAAAAATTCCACCAGAAACATTCTAGAACTAATAAATGAATTCAGCAAAGCAGCAGGATATAAAATTAACACCCATAAATCAAATGTGTTTCTACACAAAAGTGATGAATCCACTGAAAGAGAAATTAGGAAAACCACCCGATTCATAATAACCTCAAAAAAAAATTTAGGAATCAATCTAACAAAAGAGGTGAAAGACCTCTACAATGAAAACTATAGAACATTAAAGAAAGAAATTGAAGAAAACCTTAGGAGATTGAAAGATCTCCCATGCTCTTGGATAGGCAGAATTAACATTGTCAAATGGCCGTACTACCAAAAGTGCTATACAGATTTAATGCAATCCCTACAAAAATCCCAATGACATTCTTCATAGAAATAGAAAAAGCAATCATGAAATTCATCTGGAAAAATAAGAGATCCAGAATAGCCAAAGCAATTGTTAGCAAGAAAAATGAAGCCGAAGACTTCATAACACCAGAAATTAAATTATACTACTGAGCCATAGTAACAAAACCAGAATGGTATTGGCATCAAAAACAGATACATAGACCAATGATACAGAAGGGAAGACCCAGAAAGAAAACCACTAAATACAGTTATCTCATACTAGACAAAGGCACCAAAAACATACATTGGAGAAAAGATAACCTCTTCAACAAATGGTGCTAGGAAAATTGGAAATCCATATGTAGCAAAATGAAATTAAACCCCTAACTCTCACCCTGCACACAAAATTCAACTCAAAGTGGATCAAAAACATAGGCACTAGAACAGACCCTGCACCTAATAGAAGAAAAAGCAGGCCCAAATCTCCACCATGACAGCTTAGGAAATGACTTCCTCAATAAGTCTCCCAAAGTTCAAGAAGTGAAATCAAGACGCAATAAATGGGATGAAATCAAACTAAAAAGCTTCTTCATAGCAAAGGAAACAATCAATATTGTGAGGAGAGAGCCTATATAATAGGGAAAAAAAATCTTAACCACACACACCTCAGATAGAGCACTAATCTCCAGGATACATTTTTAAAAAAAAAAAAAACTCAAAACTTAACACCAAAAAAAAAATAACCCAATCAATAAATCAGTCAAGGAACTGAACAGACACTTCACAGAAGAAGAAATACAATTGATCAACAAATATATAAAAAAAGTTCATCATCTCTAGCAATTAGAGAAATGCAAATCAAAACTATACTGAGATTCCATCTGACTCTAGTCAGAATGGCAATCATCAAGAATACAAGCAATAAGAGATGTTGGTGAGGATGTAGAGAAAAAGGTACACTCATACATTTATGGTGGGACTGCAAATTGGTGCAACCACTATGGAAAGCAGATTCCTAAGAAAACTTGGAATGGAACCACCATTTGACCCAGTCATCCCACTCCTAGTTTTATACCCAAAGGACTTAAAATCAGCTTACTACAGTGACCCAGCCACATCAATGTTTATAGCAGCTCAATTCACAACAGCCAAACTATAAAACCAACATAGGTGCCCTTTAACAGATGAATGGATAAAGAAACTATGGTGTATATGTACACAATTGAATATTACTCAGCCTTAAAGAAGAATGAAATTATGGCATTTGCCAGTAAATGGATGGAACCAGAGAATACCATGCTAAGCAAAACAAGCCAATCCCAAAGAACAAAAGTCCAAAGGTTTTCTCTGATATGTGGATTCTAATTCACAATTGGGATGGTGGGGAAGGGAGAATAGAGGTAATTTGGACTAGACAGAGGGGAGCAAAGCAATTTGTGATATAAGTGAGAAATTCAGAAAAAGCAATAGAGATCATAAGTAAGAGCCATTCAGAAATTATGGAGCTGAATAACTCAATAAATAAAAAATACAGATGAGAGCCTCAAAAACAGACTCAATCAGAAAGAAGAAAGAATTTGTGAGCTTGAAGGCAGGTCTTTTGAAATATCTCAGATTAAAAGAAGAAAAAAGGCTTAAATTAATTTAAAAATTAAATTAAATTAAAATTAAATTAAAAAGGCTTTGAGATTTTGGGATACCAGAGAATAAGCAACATTTATACTATTGAGGTTCTAGAAGGATATAAGAAAGAAAAAAGGTATGGAAAACATATTCAGTTAAATAATTGCTGGAAACTTTTAAAATCTTGGAAAAGATATAAATGTGCAGGTCCAGAAAGCCCAAAGGATCCAAAATAGATTTGACCAGACCCTCTCTGAGGTATATTATTGTC